AATTATCAACGTAGTCTCCAATACCGAGAGAACAGCTTCTTAACAAAATTTCAGCTGCTGTTACCATGACAACGTTTTCGACTGTGTATTTTGTATCGCAAATGCCAACGTTTTAAACAGATCCTATACTCCATTTTCGTACTGAGAGAGGAGGCGTAGTAGGAATAATCGTCATAAAAGGCAATATGTATCCATCGTGTGTGTGTGGCATCTTTCAACTTTTTCAGAAATGTAGTGGACTCTTCAGGTGACGTATTCGTATATCTCATTCTAATGACGGAGTAGAGATCGAATTCTATCAAATGCTGAAGGTGACAGAAAAAGAATTTCATATTTCATTTATTGATTGCTTGTTACGTTAGATGGAGAGCCATTTCAATGATTGGTTGATGTTCAGCTAAACGAAATTAGATCAGGTAAGGGTAGACAGTTTTTGTAGAGAGCTTTCGACATTGCCAACTCTCGTCTGAGCAAACCAATACTAATTTATACATGTTAGGTTAAAGTTAATAAATAAAAGGTCGTGTTTATTTAACGACGAATAGAATGTTATTTGTCTATTAGATTTAAGTAATTTCCGCTTGGGAACTGATTGTAATTACGTGGCAGTCATAAATAAATTTGGAGCGCATTGGAACATGACAATATTCAGTACAAAAGGAAGGAGATTAACGAGGAGAAATACCTTTAACTAACCTCAAATGTTAAGCTCTAAGAAACATGGTTGGTTTTGTTTAACAGCATATCAACATATCTATGGGTTATATAATGCCGAATTCTAAATAGTTTGAACACAATTTTATACCTTCAATTAAATATATTTTGAACACAATTGTATACCTTCAACAACGAATCAAATGTATTGTTGGTTATTTTGCTGTAAAAAAAATATTATTTTTCGTTTTACTATAAATATGTATTGTGTAAATAGCAGGACAGACCGGGTTCTATAGCCTTGGATGGCTACTAGTTTGACGCAGAAAGAAATAGCAACCTACTGCGGAAAAACATATGCCTCGTCAGTCATGTATCGAATGATACATGATCGCCTAAGCGTGTAACTGACTGTCATTTTTATTACTAGAATTTTCTTGCAAGTATTTAGTATTGTTGAAGTTATCGCTATCTATTGAGATTTACAAACTCTACGTTTCATTCAAATTCGCAAACCAATCGATGAAATTTCAATAAACTGATTTGTTTGGAAACTTACTTTTATAAAACCCTACTTCACAGTTTAATAAGTTATTTAAGCTAATTTAATTTAATAGGACTTCATGGGAAAAACAATATTTTTAAAGAAAATTACATTTTTTTCCTTTTTAACATCAAAGAATAAATTCTTACGTTTTCTTACTCTTGAGCGAGCAGCATACAACTGGTTATGCGGAAATATTTCTTTCTGGGGCCAAATTTCAACATTTGGGGGCGTTTCGCCTGGTGAGTTGTTTATAGTCCTCGTAAACGCAGGGCGAATTCGAAACTGAATTCTTGTATATAAAAAAAATAAAGAAAAGATATTCAAAAAACAATATTGTATATTGTATTAAATAAGTATTTGTTATTTAAATCAGTAAATTATTTTTTACATGGTGGGAGGATTTTTTATGTTAAATAATAAAACGTTTCACTTTAAAAAAAAAAAAAATGAAAATTTACTAAGCTAGGTACCCTAGTAAAACGAACAGTAATTTGTACCCCCATTACCTGTTTGCACTTCTCTCTAAATGTAGTTCCGATCAGTCAAGTTATGGCTATTTTAGAGGGTGTGACGGACAGGCTAACGGAAGTCACAGAATTTTATATATAGATAGAATAAATATATTTGTATACTGTCATAATGTTTTATTTGGGGATTCACTAATTGCACAAAGCTCAATCCGTAACAGATGCTATCACCCCAGGTCAGGGTAGACCTAGGATGGACAACAATTAAGAGATGGTCCCACACACCTCAACACCAACAATCTGCCGCTGAACAGAGGTTTTGCTGCCGGATGTAGTTTATCTTCATACCCACGACTTGAAAAATAGTTAATGTTGGTCGGCTAGTTTGATCCTCGGAATATTATTCACTTAGAATTCTTAAAACGCAGTCAAATGCTAAATGCAAATTTATTCCTCCAGCAGCTTCAACATGTCAGTAAAATTTTCTTTGAAAAGCTTCCTGTGCTTGAAAAGAGGAAAAAATGTTATTCTCGGACATGACAACGCAAGGTTGCAAATAGCAAGAATAACATAGAAAAAAATTGGATCTCGGTTGATGAGATTCTATGTCACACGCCAATGGCCTTAAACTAACGGATCTAACCAACGACACATGGCACAGTGGATAAAGGCGTTGGTTAGATCCAGTGACAGGACCCAAAGAGCGTGAGTTCAATACCCGGTTAAGGCAGTGGAGAACTTTCAGAGGGAAATTAACAGGAGATAACTGATAACTGACATCCATTAAACATGGCACGTGGAACTAGAACAGTCTACCGTAGTGAGTGAAATAAAGGGTTCAGTTCGACATTCCAACCACCTGAAGAAGGCCAGAGCGTACAACGGCCGAAACATTGTAATAAATATGGTGACAAAGATGAGGACAATAGTCCGAATAATGTAAATAATGTACATAATACCTCATCTCAGAAATATAGACAGATTATGAATAAGAGTTTAATCTCATTATTAATACGATGGCTGATCAAAAATTTTGGAACTTGTGCTATAAAAGGAAAACTATATTACATATCAATTCTGCATTTAATCTCCCTCAAAGTAGCACACTTTTGAAACCACATACTTTATCCAGCGTTTTTTCCATTGACAGAAGTATTCGTGGAACACCGTTCATGGAAATAACGAGAAGTTGCTTCATTTCATTCTCTGGAATTGCCCTGATATCTTGAAATCTTTTTTTCCTTTCAAGTTGGCTTTGATTTTTGGTATGCGGTAAAGGTAGCAAAGAGCGAGATCTGGGGGATATGTTAATTGTCAGACCTGAGGAATGTAGTGCTTGACCAAAAACTACTTCACAACCCTTGGTCACTGAAGGAACAGCAGTGTGTAATGAGAATACCACACTCTACACACTTTCATTCCAAACCCTGCTATAAAGAAGGGAATTGAGCAAGAACGTTAAATGAGTTCGTATACTTGACAATGTTCAATCTATGCTAAACTGATTCACTGCATGCTTTAGCTCCGTTACCATAGAAACAGTCCTGATACTCTTTGATAAGGCCTTGTGTATCATTATACATATTCTTCACAACACGAAAATATTTTTTCGTAAATTTGGTATAAATTTTGTAGAAATAAGATTTCAAAATCTTCAAGTAAACTAAAATGTGCATAATATTTTGTATGTGTTAGGCACGAGGAAGTAATAGAAAGCGGCTCGGATTAAGTAATCGGAGAGCCGAGTTCGAATTCCACCGAATCCATTACATGGGAAAGTTATGAATCGTCTTCTTCTCTCCCCAGCTATGGGTAAATAGCAAGACAGATCAGGTTCTATAGTCTTGGATGGCAACATGTACCGCAGAAAGAAATGTCAACCCATTGCAGAAAAAAAAAATCTGCCTCGTCTTTAATGTATCGAAAGATACATGATCGTCTAAGCGTGTATCACGTATGGAACATAACTGATTGACTGACTCCATTACATTCAATTACGTGCTAATAGCCTTGGGGAAGGTATGAATCCTCTTCTCTCCTCACCCAGCCATAATTAAATAGCAGGACAGACCGTGTTCTATAGCCTTGGATAGCCACTAGTCTACCACAGAAAGTGATGGCAATCTACTGCGGGAAAAAAAAATCTGCCTCGTCAAACATGTATCGAAAGATACATGATCGCGTAAGCGGTTATTACACTGACTATGCAGGTGAATATTACTTTAAAATAGTCGCAAAAAATTTGCAGATGGTGTATAGCAGCTCCGAATGAGAAACTGGAGACCCGTGATCGAATTCTAGTTCGAGTGTGTTACATTCACATACGCGCAAATTCCCTTCCGAAATGTATGAATAAATCTCTCTCCTTTAACTATGCGTTAAATAATACAGCAGTCTGCGCTCTCAGCCTGGGGTTGCAAATAGTCTAACGACAATTCTGAATATATAACTGTTGAAACTTGACTAATGCATGGAATAATAATGCAACACAAAATGTACTTAGAACAAAATGTATTGAAACAAGAAAGTGTACACAATATTTACATATAGTCTTTTGTATATTCCTGGTAAGACCGTTCCTGGAGAATGTGTTGACTGAGTCGCAGTCGAGCAGAGTCTCTGGTTGAATCTCTTGATTTCTCCCTCTCTTCCCGGTACCAACCATATTTATATGGTCGGTACTCCACTATGCAAATTAGGTGGATCCTACCACAACAATAACCGTATATACCGCTGGCGAAGCAAATACCAAATGTATCTCAAGATAGTATCGTTGAGTTGACAATAATTCTATGACTTGTACAGCGGTAGATGTCGGCCATTTTGTTGTTAATTTTAAGTAGAAATGAGTAGAAAATGTTGTTGCTGCCAGCTGATTCCTTCCAAGGTGTAGTAGAAAACTCTTTATTAAGAAGAACAGATACAGAAAGAATTAAGTAAGAATTAAGTTTATTTATTTTAGGAGATCAGATCAAATTTTTCGAATATTTGTAATTGACATCTTTTAGATGAATTATGCAATGAATTATTGCAAAGTTAACACAGGTATGACGAATTTGGGTTCAATCACAGCTAAGAACGAGAATTACAGATGCTGATTTTCCTATGCTTGATCAATGCTGGATAAACTTCCTCCGTTTTAATACAACTGATTTGTGCAATTTCAATCGAGAAATATTTACTGTTGATGATTTGATGAGGCTACTCGGAAAGTCTTATATAATTACGCCGTTAACCTACGAGTAAATATTTGCTAGTACCGAGATTAACATTTCTTAAGAACGGGTTCTATTTTGATCTTACATCAAAAATTTTACGTCGGTGAAATTAAGAACCGATTCTCTCTCTCTCTCTCTCTCTCTCTCTCTCTCTTTCTCTCTCTCCCTCCCTCCCAAGTTTTAGCCATAAAATTCGGAACTGATTTCTCTATCTTTCTCTCTTTCTTTTTATATACCTACCTATTTACATTCAATTATATATATATATATATATATATATATATATATATATATATATATATATATATATATATATATATATATAAAAGGTAGAAAGATCGAAAGATATTGATAGAGAGAGATGTTTAGTTGAATAATTTAGACTTGTTCTGTCTATTTATTTGCAATTGGATCCTTTCATATTCACGGATAAACTTTTGGTGGTCGCTATTGAAGGACGAGAGAAAATCGCCATGTTGATGTATATTTCTTTTATCTGAGTATTTTCGACAATGTCATCATCTGGGTACACACGCACACACAGACACAGACAGACAGACAGACACACACACAGATATATATATATATATATATATATATATATATATATATATATATATATGTATTGTGAAATAGAGTAAGTCCAAAAATTATTTTAATATTTTCTGTTTATACGATATTTTTATAGATATACATATTTAAGTAAATGTTCTGTTTAAAATAAACAATATTAACAACAATTACCGTCCAGCATGTCCGACAAATCTCATAAAAAACATGTATCCCACATGGAACCGTCATATAACCTGACCTGCTATAATAGTTAACTACAGAGAAAGTGTCTTGATCGCATGTTTGAATTACTGTTTTTAGAATACAAATCTTCCATGATTTCTCTTAAAAAAGCTCATATCTACATCTATCCTATATATATATATATATATATATATATATATATATATATAGATAGATAGATAGATAGATAGATTGCTTTTTTTTTTCTCTTCTGTATTCATTCTTTTTTAGGCGTCACAAATTTTTTGTTGTTAAAGTCAGAAACTGATTCTCTCTCTCTCTCTCTCTCTCTCTCTCTCTCTCTCTCTCAGTTTGAATCACAAGATTTTAACGATAAAATTCCTAACTAATTTTCTCCATGTAGCCTGCTTTCGTTTACTTGTCTACTGCTTTTTTCGCATCCCAATTTTTTTACTACATTTAGGAAAACCTTCTCTCTCTCTCTCTCTCCTTCTCTCCTCCCTTCTCTGTCCATCTGTACATATATATATATCTATATATATATATATATATATATATATATATATATATATATATATATATATATATATATATAGATAGATAGATAGATGATAGATAATATTAGTAGTAAATATACATACATATGCAAAATATATAAATACCCATACATGTATATTTTTTAATAAAATTCCAAGAGGAAGAATCCAGGTAGAATTCAAAGTCCAGGACAGAGTAAGGATATAATAAAAGGCTTAAACACTAATATTCCATGGTCATATACATATATACATATATATATATATATATATATATATATATATATATATATTCAAATAAAAAGAAAAAAACAGTAAGATATGTAATCCGGTGTTCTTATTGATATCTTTATTTTTTACAAAATAGTGCTCAATGTAAATTTACAGAGCATTAATATTACCATATTTTAAATCAGTTATATATATTGCTTTCATTCTTTCTGTTATTTTCTTTCTTTTTTAGGGTATTACAATTTTTTTTTTTTTGTAGTTAAAATTGAGAACTGGTTCTGTCTCCTTCCCTCTTTTTCTCTATCTCTCTCTTTTATTTTTCTTTCTTTCTTTTTTCATCCAATTTTTTTGGTCCGTGGATATAAGCCAACATATAAAACAATTTCTGCGAGTTCACGCTTATTTTAGTTATTGTTTCCCGCGAACCATAGCGAATCCATTGAATCCAATCACGGGTTGAAAGCCATAATATTAGAAGAGCCACATTTCAGGTCGGAAATCATTTGTAATTGCCGAACAAGGAAGATCCACAATATTCTCTCTTCAACAGACACGTGTAGTAGTAGTAGTAGTAGTAGGTGTAAGAAAAATCCGCGCGTTTAAAAAGCATCGTTGACACTGTTACTTTTAGTTACATGTAGAAGTACCGATGACAGTAACATTATTATTATTATTGTTGTTGTTGTTGTTGTTACAATTAATATTAATGTTGGCTTTTGTTTAGCATTTTATAAGAGTACACTAGGAACTGATATTTCGAGCGATTTATGTAGACTCAGTTACAGAGTTAATTCCTTATATAAGCGCGATTGTTGTGTACATGGGAAGAGAACCTCCATTGATATATAACTACCTTATTTACTTAGTTAAATAAGAAAGTTTAAAACAATTTATATATTTTTCTTTTAATAACAACTACTGATAAATAGGTCAGGCTCAGTTTCCTGGAAACTGCTGTAAATAGAATCTATGGGTTTCCGGTTTTAGAATTTAATTTCCCTGATTTTTTTTTTTTTTTTTTTTTTTTTTTATGGGTTGGTGCCAAGTCATTTATTTGATGAACGTATTTAAAGGGAGAAACACCTAAAAGCGGGAAGTATTTCGAAAAAAAAGATACATGTTAGCCGGCATTTGTGTCACTAAGAAGGCAAAAGAAAACAAAATAAACACGAGGACGGGGAGGGGTGCACGCCTCACCCCCACCCCTACTCATAAACAAAACACAGCAACGCACAAAATCCCTCACTTATTAATACACACTTAGACATATACTCAGACACAAACACGAAAACATAGACACTCGTTTGCGCACAGGTGCGCTTATACATTTATATTTAGGAACCTACTGACACAATTAGTCACCCACACTAGGATACTAACATACACTTACTTACGCAAATGCAATACGCATAGACTTTGTTAGTCATTTGCGCATGCGCGCGCACACTCCTTCACACACGGGTGCAAACGCGTGCGCGCATATAGTCCTAAGGACAGGATCACTAACACACACACAGTTCGAAACACACACACACACACACACATACACACTGACTCTCTTACATACACGTACACACACACACAAACACTCACAAACACACAACCGCACACACACAGCACACACTTATATACACGCTCACAATCACACACTCGCAAACACACGCACGCACACACACACACGCACACACGCACGCACAAAGAAAACGCACGCTCACATACTCACATACACACGCACACAAAAAAAAACACACACAGACATGCATAGTTACTCATATGCTCACTCGCACGTAAACTCACAGACACCTACACACGTACGCACATGTAAATACGCCCAGTCAAACAAAAACACAATCACCTGCAATTACACACACACACACACACACACACACACACACACACACACACACACACACACACACACACACACACACACACACACATATTTCTATTCTTTCCTTTTTTACAGATTTTACTTGTGATTAATACAAATTTTATTAAACCTCTTATTTCTCCAATGATAAGAGCTTCGTCAAAACATGAACTGTTTCTGCTAAAAGCTCAAATATCATAATCTTTCTTCAGGACCTGGACGTTCATGACTCTCCACAATTTCCTCTCAGTTATAGCTCAAAAGAGCGTACTATTCATTTTTATCCCTTGTCTATTGTTCATTCACACAAATTCATTAGTTATGTTGCCCACCATTTCCCACTAGCCCCGATATCTTCTTCTTCTTCTTCTTTATCTGCCGTGTCCCTTCAGAACATAGGTGGTCATGGCTCTCCACAACTACCTGTCTTTTGTATCTCTTAATCAATTTGTCTTTCTGTTATTTCTCCTAAACACTGTTCTGCCATGAATTTACTGTAGCTCTGTATGTTATGCACTGTTTTCATCTGTCCCTCTTGCTTTCAATCTGTTCTTTGTGTATCTGATTTTCTTAGCCTTCTTTCCTCATTATGTACCTTAGAAACGTCAACTGTCTCTTTCTGATGTCAAATATAGGTGTTCTTCTGGTTTCCATTTTCTCTAAAACTTTGTCATTGCTCATTTGTTTAGTCCATGGTATTCTTAGCAACTTTCTATTTTTTTCCCTATTTCTCAGTACTCAGCTTAGCTTTTTGCAGTCATCTTTGTTTATCCCAATGCCTCTTCGGATTTCAGTATCACGTTTTCTGTCCTATGTTAACACACTTCTCAATAACGATATACGTGGTCTGTAAACAAATCTGTCGTCGTCTAAAGTATCGTGGGGGTGATACAGCGAAATCAGAGAGGCTCACGGTACTGTGTCCAAGACTTGTGTTTGATCGAACCATTGTACTTAGCTTGAGGTGTTCATAATTTTCTGTCGCGGCTCTAAGTAGGAGTAGGGGACAATTTCTTGCTTCGAAATATGCGAGGTGAATTTATTTTGTTTTTTTTTAAGTTACCTTCTTCTAACCTCTGTAGGACCTACAAGGCAGAAGATGGTTTGAATTCAGAGTTTGCCTAACAAGGATATACATTTAGCCATAGCTTGGTGTAAGACATGAATTCATACCTTTCTCACATCTTATCGATAAACAAAATAGAAACATTATGACGTCTTCTATTGCATACTAAATTTTTGGTAAATTTTGACATCTTTTAGATGAAAGTAATACAGGGTGTCAATAAAGTCTCTTTCTTTTTCTTTTTATGTACCATATCCTTTCAGGACGTAGGCGATCATGGCTCTTCCTCCTCTCTCTCTCTCTCTCTCTCTCTCTCTCTCTCTCTCTCTCTCTCTCTCTCTTGCAGCTCTAAGCTAGGTCCTTCCCTCTGCTTCTTCCGCAGACCACGTTCTGTCATCCACCTTCTCAAGCTCGTCAAAGTATCAGATTCTCCAGGCCCTCTTTCCTCATAACATGTCTTAGAAACTTCAGCTGCCTCTTTCTGGTGCTAGGTATAAGCTTTCTCCTTGTTTGCACCCTCTCTAAGACCTCATCGTTGCTCACACGCTCGGTCCATGATATCCTTAGCATCCTTCTGTAGTATCCCATCGTCACCTCGAGTCACTTCTTCATCTTTGAGGAAATCGTCCAACTTTCATTGCTGTAAAAAAGAAGA